CTCTGAATCTTTTTAATAGGTGAAATTTTTATTTTTATTTTGTAAAATATTGATTAAATAAAAAAAATTAACATATAAAATTTATTGAGCAACTCACATGAATGGATTGCACAGGCCCATTTGATGTAGAAATGGATACTACAAAATATTTTGTAAATAACTCATAAACAATAGTTGGTCACCAAGTGCAAACCATACTTTGCAATTCAACATTATAAGGCTGCTGCTCTTGCAGCTACAATTGGGCAGCCTTAAGGACAGTCTTTGCTCTTTCAGCCCAAGCCGTAATAGGTGCAACCCCACTACGATTGAGTTCCTTCAAAACTCCCTTCAACCATTGGAAGTTTCTTGCAAAGAATGTACTGTTTAATGCCATGAACCTGCAGATCCCAGCTAGTAGCAACCCGATTTTGAAATTCTGAGTGATCTGCCCACATGTTAAAAAAAAAAAATTGAAGTGCTTGCCTTTGACCACATCTTGTTGGAAAAGTGACACAATGCAAGGCGAATGTTCGGACAAGCATCCTGACGGCTGAAAATCCGCGAAGGGGTGAAAATCCGCTTGTAACCACGTTTCATTCACCATGGCTCTATCAATCTACTCCATACCGAGGGTGTGCTTCCTTGTGAATTTTTATTCCATGTAAAAAAGCAACCAATGGACCTCAAATCCGAAAGACACCCGTGTTCGAACAACAATCCACAAAGTCTTTAATCCCATACGCATTAACATCAGCTCTATTACATCTTTCATCTTATTTTGGCTTATTTTAGGACATTGTTGAAATCTCCCAAAATCAACCAAGGATTAGAACAATCCGCCCCAAAATCTACAATATTTCTCCAAAGAGGTCTCCGAGTAACAATAGAATGAAATGCATAAACAAAACTAATACAAGTCGCGATGGAAGTTACCTTACAAGTCACATTGCAATGTATCACTTTAGGAGTAGCTTCCAAAACTCGAAGATCAACTTTCGTCGGATCCCATGGTACTAAAATCCTCCCAGCCGGATCCCAAGGCGTTGCCCTTCCTTTTATCCTTCTTTGTAGCTGCGTCAAGTAATTCATCCAACTTTCCCTTAAGTTACTCATTTGAAGCTGCCTTTGACCTGTTTCTTCGTTGTTTGCGGCCACCGTTTTTTGCCTTTCGCTAATCTGCCCATTTTGGTTGCTGGTCCATTTCTTATTTCTGAACACTACAATGAACGGATCCTCCTCAGCATCACCATGAAACTCTTGCTGGCCTTCACTATTTTCCCCGCCAACTACTTTCCCAGCTGCTTT